ACTTTTCCGACCTTAGCAGAACTTGCTTTATTGGGTAACTAGTCAGAACATCCACATTGTGAGCTTGAAAATACCTTCGTATCCGCCTAGCAGTGTACACCAGGGCGAGGACCAGCTTCTCTAAGGTCGGGTAATTGACCTCTGTTCCTTGCAAGGCTCTACTAACAAAATGAATGGGGATCTGCTTGTCCTCCCTTTCCACCGCTAACACAGAAGAGATGGCTTCTTCGGAAGCTGCTAAATACATCTGTAGTGTCTCCCCTGGTAGCGGGCAGGCGAGAGCCGGTAGTTGGTGTAAGGCATCTTTCAGTCGTTGCAATGCCTCATCTGCTTTTTCTGTCCATTTGAACTGCTTTTTATCTAGGCACCCTTTGAGTGTTTGGTATAGAGGAAGCGCCTTTTCTGCAGATTTGGCAATGAATCTTCCCAATGTCGTTAGCCTACCGTTGATTTCTTGTACGCCCTTAAGGTTGTGGGGAGTTTTCGACTCAAGGAACTCCTGGATTTTGGTGGGATTGGGCAGAATCCCTTCCTTGGATATCTGATACCTAAGGAATTGACCTTACTCTACTCTAAAAGTACACTTAGTTGGGTTTAACTTCATCTGCACTTTAGCTAGCGTTTTGAAAGTTTCTTCCACATCGTGGAACAATGTTTCTTCATTGTGGCTCTTAACCACCATGTCATCGACGTAGAATTCGATATTCCTACCAATTTGATCGGCGAATATCTTGTCCATTAGCCTCTGATATTTAGCACCCGCATTTTTGAGTCCAAACGACATTTTCTGGTAGCAGAAAGTGCCCTTCTCAGTGTGGAAGGCAGTTTTCGCCTCGTCCTCTCATTTCATCTGTACCTTGTGCTAGCCCTTATACACATCAAGGAAACATTTGAACTGAAAACCTTCAAGCGACTGAACCTTCCGGTCTATCTCCGGAAGGGGATAACAATCCTTTAGACAAGCGTTATTAAGATCAGAGTAATCAATGCACATTCGCCATGACCTGTTGGCTTTCTTTACCATGACAAGATTTGCGATCCATGTCGGGAACATTACTTCCATGAGTATGCCGGCATTCACCAGATCGTCTACTGCTGCGTTTATGGCCTTGTCCCGGTCTTCTGCCTGGCCCTTCTTCTTTTGTTTAACAGGATTGCTTCCAGGCATGATATTTGAGACCGTGTTCTATAACCTGTCGATCTACGCCTGTCAGGTCTGTTGGTTTCCAGGCGAAAACGGTGGAGTATTGCTTCAGGAGCGCTACCAGTCGCGCCATGGTCTTGCCGGATAGGTGAGCGCCAATTCTCAGGAGCTGTTCTGGGTATTCCATGTTTATTTGATGTTTTTCGGTGGAACATCCCTCCTTCGACTTCTTTGGTGCTCGCGCCAACTCGGGAGCGGCTATGATCTGGTGGCAATGCTGTTCCCTGGTGTTTGTGGCGAGGATCGTCGCTGATCCCTGGCGCGTGCTAAATTTAACTATGCCACGGATCGTCGATGGTACGAAGTGTAGTAAGAAGATTGCCGACCGTCCAAGCAGAATATTATGTTCTGCTGGAAACCGGATCACAAAGAATTTGATTGTTCTTGTGATTCGGTCCCTTTCGTCGTGACTGACCAACGTTAAGGGCGGCTAGATAGTGCCTAATGGCCACAAACTGTGACCGGTGAACCCTACTAATGGCTCTCTGGTTGGGGGCCGTAGCCCCTCCTTCCACGCATTTGGTAGCTGCCTGAAACAATGCTCATAGAGTATATCAGAGCAACTACCATTTTCGATGTATATTCGATGGATTTTCGTGTTACGAATGAATCCAGATATGAGGAGTGGGTCTCGCGGATCCCAATTCAATGGTCTGGGATTGCTGCTCGAAAAACTAATATTGAGTAGATTTCTCAAGAGTACCTCTATCTCGTCCTCCGCTTGGTGAGCTGTGTTTCTCTTACGAGACTTAGAGATAGTGAGTACCTCCGTGCCGTCATGCGGAAGCTCCTGCAGCAGATCGGGATGCAATATCGCCTTCTGAGGCATCGAACCATCCAACGACAGTTGCCAGAAACTGCTCTGGAGTACTGGCTCCGTAATTAGTGGGATCTGTGCCATTAGCACCTAGATTGGGATATCTGTTCTATACTCGCAGTGGTGTTCATTGGTTACCGCCACCGATATTTGAAACAGATCTTCAACTGCAGTCACAGATGTTGTTGGGTTTAAATCACCCTTTTGCAGAGAACCAACGTCGTTTATTGGCTGTATCACTCTGAGGATACATCCGGATGGCGCCAAAATGTAGTGACATGCTCTACAGGGGTTGGGACGACGGTTGATTGATCTGTCCTGGAAGTTTTCCTGAGAACACAACACAAAAGAATCGTTAAAGGACGACCGGGTGTTCTCCCGGGAAGTCGCTCTGATGATCAAGTTAGTTTTCTGAGAGAGAGAGAGAGAGAGAGAGAGTTTAGGGTAAATTCAGTGAGGAAGAAGATGGATCCTTTCCTTGATCGGGAAGAGATCCTTTTATACCTGTTACTAACGGATCGTGGGGACCCTGTCGAGTAGGTGTGAGACGTGGCCTCCTCTTACTGGGAGGAATATGTCCACACTAACTTACTTGCCAGGTGACGTCAGTTCTGGGCGTCACCAAGCTCTTTGTTACGACCTAATTGGTCGTGAGTGAATGAAAAGATTACGAGAAGTATTCTTTCCTCGTGAGGGAAAACGAACCGCCATCCCGATGTTGGATCACTTAGGCCAAGACCGGGCCTCAACCAAGGTCGAGGCTTGATAACGTCCCGTTTATGCTTTCCGTTAAGTTTAACGTGGCCGTACATAGTAACCATAACAGAAACAAAATGTATCAAACACAAAAGATATAAACGAAAGCTGATTTTTCATGCATGTTTTCTCATGTTTTGTCACTTTACATAAGAAAATATTGAACAGGTGGTGCCCCTAGACACTCAAAAATTGTTTTATGCCTAACAGTAATGTCGAAATGTACTTTAATGTATCGCACGATATTTACTAAAAAAAATGCATTCGTCAATGCATGGGCTTTAAAAAAGACAATGTATTTGTTTCATGGGAAAATGACTTGCTAAGGTAATTAACTTTTCGGTATGTTCACATATGGGTAACTATCTTTTTTTTGTATACATCTAGGTAACAAACTTGTTGGAAGTGTTCACATATGACTATTATGATCGGCTGTAGCACGTCACATCCTAGATGTAAACACTTTCAACAAGTTCGTTACCTAGATGTGTACAAAAAAAAAATAGTTACTCAAATATGAAAAAAACAAAAAGTAAGACTAAATTACACGAATGGTCCCTGTGGTTTGGGGGAATTTGTATTTTTGGTCTCTAACTTATTTTTTTAACTCGGATGGTCTCTATTGTTTATTTTTGTTACGCGTTTGGTCCTTGTCTTACCTAAAAAGACTATTGTGCCCTTATTAACTTATTTTTTAATTAATTTTCTTATTTATGTATTTATTTTTTATATATTTAAAAAATTAATAGACCCCACATATATGTATCTCCTCACCATCCCATCTCTCATCCTCCTCCCATTCCATATCTGTATCTCCTCACCATCCAATCCTTCAACCTCCATTTTTAGCGATATCGACGTCTTCACCATCCCTTCTTTTTTTGGTCCTTCAACTCCGTCGAATTAACACCACAACCCACTAAAAATGAAGAGACAGTAGGTTATGGTGTTGGTTCGCTAGATTTGAAGAACCAAAAAAAGAAAGATGGTGAAGACGTCGATGTCACTAAAGATGGAAAAGAAATAGAAGTTGAGGAGGATGAGAGATGAGATGGTGACCGGTGAGACTCAGATTAAATTTCTCAAATGTGGTTTCAGGTTTACGGTGAGGAGATACAGATATGTGGGGTCTATTAATTTATATATATATATATATATATATATATATATATATATATATATATATAATAAATACATAAATAAGAAATTTAATTAAAAAATAAATTAATAAGGGCACAAGAGTCTTTTAAGGTAAGACAAGAACCAAACACGCAACAAAAATAAACAATAGGGACAATCCGAGTTAAAAAACAAGTTAGGGACCAAAAATACAAATTCCCCCAAACCATAGGAACCATTCGTGTAATTTACTCTTACTTTTCGTTTTGTTCATACTTGGGTAACTATTTTTTTTGTACACGTCTAGGTAACGAATTTGTTGAAAGTGTTCACATTTAGGATGTGACCTGCTACAGCCGGTCATAATGGTCATATGTGAACATTTCCAACAAGTTTGTTATCTAGATGTGTACAAAAAAAAGATAGTTATCCAGATATGAACAATACCGAAAAGTTAATTACCTTAGCAAGTCATTTTCATTTGTTTCATTTACATAAAAAAAAAAAACGTCACTTCTAGAGTGTCAAAACTAATTAGAATAGTTGATGTCCTTTTACATATAATTGGAATAGTTTGCTTGAGTAAAGATATTTCTATATTTGTGTATGAAGTTTTAAACGAATAGTTTTATGTATAAGTTATAAGAATTCGGCAAAAGTCCAAAAAAGTGGATCACAACTAAAAAGGTAAAAACTATCCGAATGTTGGTACTTTTCGAGTATAAAAGTAAATTCATTTAATTTGAGATAAGAGGACACACACACACAACAACAAAAAAAAAAAAAAAAAGTTGATAAACAATGTTTTTAAGATAAGTAGTTAACTGTCTTGATTTATATCTAGAATAATTTAAACACTTGATGAATATAGATCATTAACATAATGAAAAAAAGGGAAATACAAAAGAACCCTTATGCTTAGGTAATTACACTTTTAGTGCTTTTCTTTTCACAATCACCTATTAGAAACAAAAATTTACACAATTATATAACCAGAAACATATCCGTAGTTTATGAATAGAAGAGGGACCATTCTTGAAAATTCACTCTAGAAAGATTTGTTACACAATATGGTCAGTTTTTTCCGTTTAATCTTCGTAACAAATGGCAGATAGTCAACGCCACGTGTCATATAACTATTGGTCCACTGCATTTATACGCGGTTCACTGCGCGTTTACGCTTCCCAAAGTTTCATTCCCCCACCAAGCATTTATTATATAAAAAAAATTCAAAATAAATTTTTTTAAATCATCATCAAGAATCTTTCTTCCTACTTCTCACAAAATTAGCGATAGATATAGAAGAAAATAAAGCAGATTCTTGGTCAATTGGGTCGCAATCATAAAAAATATAATTCAATAATCAAACTATTTTTTGTTGAAACGAAAAGCCGTATATAGAATCTGCTATCTTTTTTCTATATATACGACTTGCTCTGCGATATAATTGATCACGAAATTGGTTAAATCTGTTTTGGGGGTTTTCATTTTTTGAAGTTTTGTAATCGTTCAAACAAAAAGGTTCAATTCGCTGTTGGACAATCAATCTGATTTTGGATAATCTCATCTGGGGTTAGTTTCTTTGATCCATTACCTTAATTATTCTATCTGGGTTTCCAATTTCTTTGGGTTTTAAGATCTTTATGCGAATTGCGTTTCCTTTGAAGGTTTTCGTAAATGCTCTGTTTACATGTATACCATTTCTCTTCTTTTCGAAATTTTGATTCTAGAGATTAAACCTGTGACTCTTTGTAATCGAATTTGATACTGATATAGGTTATAATGCAGGATCGATATTATCGCTAATAATTAGAAAGTTTATGTTGCTTTTGGAGTTAAAATCTTGGTCTGTTTGATCTCAAAAGTCAAATTTTGTATGTGTTTGTGTCAATTAGTTTCGAAACACAACTCCATCTAAAAGATTTACGAGTTTTAGGAGTGAAATCTTGAGGTTTATCCCTCTAATTAAGTTAGGTTTCTTTGGTCTTTTAATTCAATCGGTGAAATATGTAACTCTGTTTACTAGAATTTTCCATTAATGTGGGAAATCTTTAACAGTTTCTTGACTTATGATGATTATGTTACTGTAATTGTTGATCAAGACAGCATCGATGGTCTAATTCACTTCATTTTTTCAGCCAATAATCTCGAAAGAAAGAAAAAACATTACCCTCGATTGCATTCCGACATTCTGATTCATCCAAATGGCCGTGAAAGTGAAGATCAATGGATTCATCGAGGGCACACAATCCGAAGAACTGATGAAACTACTTTTATCACTCGCTTCAAATTGGGGAGATGTTTTCGATACAGACAATTTGAAAGTCAAACATCTAAGTGGCGCCATGACTAATGTGGTTTATCGAATCACATGGCCACAAAACACCGCCGGAAATGATGATCGGACAGTCTTGGTTCGGATCTACGGTGAAGGATCCGACATTTTCTTTGATCGGGAAGAAGAAATCCGAACTTTTGAATCGATCTCGACCCATGGGTATGGCCCACGTCTTCTTGGCCTGTTTCCAGAAGGTCGAGTAGAGGAATTCATCCATGCTAAGGTATAAACAAAGTTCTAGGGCTATCTTTTAGGGCATTTTCGTCTTTTCACATAGATAAAACCCAATTTCTTCTTCATGGTTTCAGACACTATCAGCTTCTGATCTTCGTGCTCCCGAGATTTCAAATCTTATTGCAGTCAAAATGAAGGAATTTCATCAACTGGATATTTCTGGATCCAAGATTCCTCTTCTATGGCCAAGAATGCGGTATTTTTTTTTTTCTTTTTCTTTCTTTCTTGCTTAAATAGATCATAAAATTACAATCATTTTGTAATTTATTGTTTTGTTTTCAGAAAGTGGTTGATCAAGGCTAAGAGCATATGTTCTCAAGAAGAAGCTAAAGAGTTTCAACTTAATACACTTGAACATGAAATTGACACATTGGAAAAGGAATTGTCAAAAAGTCATCAACATGTTGCTTTTTGTCACAACGATTTGCAATATGGGAATGTTATGATCAATGAAGAGACAAAATCCATCACCCTGATTGTGAGTTCATTTATGTTCTGTTTTGGTTCTTGATTGATGGGTAAAAATGTCTTTTTGTGTTGGATAACATATTGAAATGAATTTAATTTTCAACAGGATTATGAGTATGCAAGCTACAACCCTGTAGCTTATGATCTTGCGAATCATTTCTGTGAATGGGCTGCAAATTATCACACTGATACACCTCATGTTTTGGATTATAACATGTACCCTGGTAAAGTTTTCTATTCTTTTTTTTTTAATGCAAAATGTCAAACTAAAAGTTGCTATTTGTTTCAATTGGCATCATTTTACATGAATAGATTTTGGTCCAAAAGTCTTTGTTTGTTTTGTTTATCTTGAAGGGTATTCAACTAATTTTGATAATTTCACTAACAACCAACGACTTTCGTTAATTCATGTATACCTTTATTTACGAGAAAATTAATATTTGATGAATACATTGAAGGGTTTTTTCGTAATTTTCCACCGCTGTCGGACAGCCCACGATCAAATTTTAATTGTCACCACTTGGAAAATTTGCTGGATCTTCTCGTGGGACCCATTGAGTAGCTATGTCGATAGGTTTTGTATGAAAATGATCTTCCTTAGGCATTATTACAATATACATATATAATAATAATTATATATACAAAATCATTGATTCATTACTAATTACTAAATTATGCGCTCATGTATCTTTTTAACAAAAAAATGCAGATTTTGAGGAGCGAAGAAGATTTTTGCAGTCATATCTCAGTTCCACAGGTTAGCGGAAGTTTTTATGAAATATTCATTTTTCTCTTCAAGTACTAAAAAAATTAGTATCTTATAATAGTATTTGATTTGGTCAAAGTTGCATAAGTCAAAAGTCAATTAGCTTTAGATCGAAGCATTTGGGAGTCGTTATTTTATATACGAATTTATTGTTCATGTCGTTAAACATTGAAACAATCTTTGCATGATATTTTGAAGTCAAACATCCTTATCTACAACTAATACAAAAGTCTACTTCTTGGAATTGACAGCAATTGATATTTAATCGATTGATCTGTTTTTGTAGCATTCTATTTTTATTTTTACTATTAGAACACTCTACTTTGAAAGTATAGTACTATAAATTGGTTATTATATTAATAACGAATAAATTAAAATTATTCCCTATTTAGTAACATAAATATTTGTTAATTCTTGAATTAAAATAACAAATTAATCTTGTTCATTGGTGCTTCCAGGAAATCTACCGAGTGATGCTGAAGTAGATGAGCTTATTGCTGATGTGGAAAAATACACTCTTCCAAATCATATTTTCTGGGGATTATGGGGAATAATATCAGTATGCATCACTTCGACTTTTTTTTTTTTTTCTATTTAATTTTTTGTATATTTTTATTCGTTTCTGTTTGAAGATTTGCTCTAATTTTCATTTTCTTTTTGAGCAGGCTCATGTGACTAAGATTGATTTTGATTACAAAGAGTATGCGAGGCAAAGGTTTAGACAGTATTGGTTGAGGAAGCCCGAACTTCTGAAGGGCAAAATGGTAATTTCTCATGAGGATTCTAAGAATGAGAAAGAAAATGGTGCGGGTAGCCTTGTTACATGAAGTGTTGTTGGTGAAAGTAGTTATAAAAGTTGTATGTAGAAGATGAATAATATAGAATACATCTGGCATAAAGTCAATCCTGTCTAGAATATATGAAAGAATGTGTCTCAATTCTCATTGTATACATTTTGTAGTGAACTCACTGTGCAAGGGGAAAAAAGAATTGTTTTTCATCACTTCTTTGTCTTCTTTACTTTGATATATGGATTTATAATGCAAGAAGAATTTGTCTCGTTGTTTTGCATTTCTTTTTATATAATAATGATTTTCGCATTCTTGTAAAGCCTAGACATCATATATACTGCGATTTACATGAATATTATGTGTGTGTGTGGGACCAGTTAGTGGGGCATAAAAATGAGTAAACGTATTTTGTATGGTAATGATCAATGCTTTACTTTTGGAACAATCGTTATTTTTAAAGCATTTGTTATGATAATGACTACTGCTCATTATTGTAAACATGTTCAATGGTTTAGGAAGAAAGAATATGAAAAATGATTAAAATTGCAAATCAATCATGTGCTAGAAATAACCAGAGAGCCTATAAATATTCCGATACATAATAACTCCTATTCTTGATAGGTAATTGGTGTTAAGCAAAACCGATCAATGATTGATATCCAACCATTTAAGTGGGGGCAATTGTCCCTTCTCCCTAGTCAGCTTTGGCTCTTACATAACTCAATTTGTATCGCCTACACCACTTCCATTTGATAGCTAGAGACTTATGTCGATAGATTAAAAGAGTTTGAATTGTTTAGAAAAGAAACATGAAATAAGATTCATTGTTTTCCAATGCAAAAAAAAGATTGGAGTTTGAAAGAAGGATTACAACTATTATGGTGAAGGGGAAAGTTGACCTTCCTTTGGTATAGATGCTTTCACATATCAATGTTCCAATTTGGAAAGTGACAACTTCATACGGTACTAACCATTGGCATTGCTCATTCATCATTCTCTTTATCAACTACCTCCAACACCACTAGGCGATGCCATATGATGGCTACCAACAACACCACCACATGATGCCATGTGTCAGCGTCTCTTATTAAACCATGTCGCACCGATGTGGGATACATTACACACTCCACTCTAGAGAGGGATGCTATATAAGGATAGACAAGGGATGTGTCAAGCTGTTAGGGTGCAGATGTCGGCTCTGATACCATGTAAAATATATGTGGAGTTTCATATTAATTTTCCAAAAGAGCTATTGTGGAGAAAAAAAAAACTTCAACATATATAAACACTTATCGGACCTTGTCACACCGCTATAAGATACATTAACACAAATATCACATATATGTTTATGCTATACGGTTTTGCAAATCGATGGTTCAATATGAAGGAGATAAGGAGATGTAGATCACATATATGCTACCTGCTAATCATGGTTAAAACATAAATTGTTGTAGCATACAAAAATCATTAATCAATGATAGCCATTTGACTTTTCAACGAAGCATTTGAATAAGTCTCTGTTTTAATTTTTAAACAATTTTTTTTCCAGGCATGAAATTTTTTAAACAAGCGCTTTGGATGATACGTTGATGTCAAACAGTCAAAGTGTCGAACATACTTATCTAGAAGTAGCAAAAAGTCAACTTCTTATAATTGACCCAGAACGTATAAATATGGATGAATAATAAATAGTAGCGTATCTTATTTGATTTGCATATTGTAACCATTTATTTTTATATTTTTATTAGACCGCAAGGAGTGGGAGGGAAGCTTCCCTCACTTTTTGTGGGTCATATCCTCATTTCCTTTACTTTTCTTTCCCTCACCTAAAACCCAAGGAATGGATGGGAAACCCTTCCCTCACTCTTTTTTTTTTATTAAATAAAATTAATTTTTTTGTTATGAATTATAATTTTTAAATTAATACTAAACATAAAATTTAATTAAAAATAAAAAGCATTTCATTAATTAAAATAAAACTTACATTAAACCTAAAATTTAAAAAAGTAGAAAATTAAAAAAAAATCACACACACACACAAACTAAAAATCTAACAAACCAACAACGACCTACGAAAAATATTTTTTCAGAATTTTTTCTCTCTTCTTCATCACGAGCTCGAGAGCCGGTCCCGAGAGATGATCGACGTTTTCCATCAAAAACTTCATGTCCTCCATTTCTTGTCTCTCCGCCCGCTCATTTTTTCCTTGTTTCTTTTTTTCTTTATCGAAAGCCAAACGTTCGGAGAAATTTAGATTATATCGATCAAACGACGATGTTATCTTCCGCATTTCGTCAATGTCCACGCTGAAATCAGATGCACTCGAAGAAGTCCATTTTCCCTTTCTCTTCGCTTTGTTCCTACCCATTGGGCGGACAATTTCTTCTAGCTCAAGTTCGTCGTCCTGATTTAAATCTAGACCGACCCGAGCATCGGAGGAGGTTGTGTAACCACTAGAGCCCGTTTTCGTTCGCTTTGATTGTTGGGCTCCAAAAATAAAATCTTGCTCGTATTTTTTCCACCTAGGACTTCGGACCAATAATTTCCAACAATCGTGCCACTTGAATGGTTTTCCGACTTCCTCAAGGTAAAACTGCAACGCTTCTTGAAGTATTTCTTCGTCGCCTTGGCCGCTTTTTCGTTGGGTTTTTAGGTTGTTGTACAACCCGTTTATTTTTTAAACCCCATTTGCTATTTCTCGAAACTTCGAATTAAGTTGATGTTTCGTGCGGTAGTCGTCACATTTTCCTAGCTCCTCTCGAAATCGTTCTAAAATGCGAAACCAAAAATGTTCTCCCGGTTGTGCGTTTCCCTGAATCGAATCTTCAGAAATATCAACCCAAGCTTTGACCAAAACTAGCTCTTCGTGTGGAACCCATGTTGTCGGCTTTTGTCTTCCCGGTTGTGCGACACCCTCGCGCGCTTGTTTTTTCCCTTTACGTCTTTGTGGTGGTGGTGTTGGTTGAGTTTCGGGAACCATGTCTTCTTCTTCCGCGTCATCCGATTCATCGACAAGTTGGTGTTGTTGTTGGGTTTGGGTTTGAGTTTCAGTTTGAGTTTGGGGTTGAGGTTGATTTGGCGATTGTTGATCCGGAAACACAACAAAGTTTGAAAACATTTACGACGGAACATTTGGAACTTGCATCGGGTAATATTGGCCAACATTTTGGTATTGGAATTGTAGTGGGGATTGAATGGGAGCATCGAGTTGGGGGCGGTAAACTCCTTGCGGGGATGAATCGATAGCAAAAATGTTTCGAGAAGGGATGTTTATACTCGAACCATGGCTTTTTTTCCTTCGATCGGAACTTGGGATTTGATTGTCGGGATTCATTTTTTTTTTGTTGATATAAAGTAGAGAGAATAGAGGGTAGTGTGATGTTTGATGTTATATGTATGTATTTATAGGAGTGGAAAAAGGATAAAAAAAAAAACAAAACAAAAAAAACCACAATTAGCCAAAAAAAAAATTACATTTGTACCGTTGATTAACGGTTCTTTTTCAAAAAAAAATATATATATTTCCCAGCCAATCGCAGCAAGAGAGAGAGCGCGGGAGAGGCTCCCCTCTCCGTTTCCCGCACAACGCTTCCCCGCGCCGACGGTGCGGTGTTCCGCCGGGCGGGAAGCTTCCCGCTGCCGTTCCCCGCACCCGCTCCGTCCGGCCTTATGATTTCTGAAAGATTGTCTGGTTATAATAATATTATTGAGATACAAAACATTTTTTAGTGTTATATTTGGGTAAGATTCTTAAAGTTTAATGTCTTAATAACATATTAAAAATAAAATGTTATAATTTGGTGGATTATTAAGATGTTGCTATTGAGTTCTCAATAGTTACTAACGGGTCATGTATAATAATGTTATGACCTTAAGATTTAGAGTAATTTAAAAAAAATTAGTTTCCGCCATTTAAAAAAGAATTATGGTGCAATTTGTTGACCGTTTATCCGCTACATCTATGTAATAATAAGTTGTTATTTATTTATTTTTTTTAAATTTTAAATTTTTTTTTTATTAAAGAAAAGGACTTTATTAATTTTCAATATGTATTCAAAACTCTACCATCATTCTTTTTTACAAGGGTGATCTAAATTTGATATATGTCAAATTTCTCAAAATTAAAATTGAAATAAATTGAGTCAATAGAACAAAATTGCCTCCGATATTTAGGCAAACCGTTTATGGTTGTTTGTTAGGACCTTTGATCCGATGAAAGTAGGTTTTGTAGTTTGCAACATATCAAATGTTTATCCATTTGAAGTTGAGTATTTACGTCAGTTTTGTCGTTATCTTATTTACCTATAAAAAAGAATATACTAAGGCTCGACGGAGTGGGCATTGACAATACTCGACACACTTCGGCAAACACCGAGCCTTGTCTTTGGCGAGCTCGGTAGATATCTACCGATGAGAGAGAAGGAAATTAACTCATTTTTTTATTAATCATTTTATCCATTTTCTCATTTCCAAAAAAATAACTCATTTTCAAAAAATACTCTTTTTTCAAAATATAACCGTTTTTTTTTTGAAATTTTCAAATTTTAAACACTCTATCTTTCACTATAAATAACAACACCAATCTTCATTCTTCACTTGTAACGTCCCAATTAAAAGACCCAAAAATTTCATTTTTAAATTTAATAAAATCAGTATTCCAAAAACATTATCAATACAATCTCAATAAAACAAGCGTACCAATCGACCTATGAAATCAGAGTAAATCACAAAACGCGGAACGAGGTGGTGTGTGTGTCCTGCAATCATCCCGAGCTCCTACATTTGAAACCAAAAACACCTGAAACATAAACTGAAAACCGTAAGCACAAAGCCTAGTGAGTTCCTCAAGATACCACATACCACACATACATAAATCCCATATTGGGCCACCGCCCTCCATTGGGCCTCGCCCGGTATCGAGACCCACCCGGCCTCGGGCCCCGCCCGACATCGAGCCCCGCTCGACTTGGGCCCCGCCCGGCATCGAGCCCCGCTCGGATTACATATCTGTCAATCACCCGGCCCCGCCTGACATTGGGCCCCACCCGATACACACTTAATCATATAAACATATAATATTACTAGCACATGCTATAATCACAAAGACAATAGCATACCATACAATCATCGAGTCCCACCCGGCATCGGGCCTCGCCCGGTAAGCAGAGAAACAAATACTGATAAGTAGCAT